AATTACTGTGATTTTCACAAAAATTAGATTTAAACTATTTTAGGGTGTAGAGAAAAGTACACCACCGTGTCCAAAACCTGGATTTTGTTTTCTTGAGAAGCTAACTAATGACTCAGAAGAGTAGATGGGAAAGATTTGCAACAACAAAAAAATATTGTCCAAGGATGAAGAATAGAGGAAGGAGGTTCAGACTTACAAGAGGAGTGTTTGCAAGTGTTTAACATAACCCCTGGGCTGGGTGGGGTTAGCACACTGGATGCTATGCTTTGTTTATATAAGCTGTGTGTAGGCTGTTAGGATTCATAATACGTTGAAATAGTGGGAAGATGGAGAACCTGATGTATCGAGAAGAGAAAATAAGAAAGAGCTATGACCTAGCAGGCACAGCCTCTGGATTGGGCAGTTTCAATGGTGCCTGTGGCAAAGAGCCTTCTTTGGATTGGACCACCCACAAACAGAAATGTGTCTAGCTTTGTCAGAGGGTGTTTCTATATGGGGTGGGGAGGGGCTGCAGAGATATCCATTAATATACTGCAACAGGCTGGGAGGAAAGTTATAAAAAGTTACTGTTGCTGTTTTTAGGCACCATCTAGTGGATTCCAACTCACAGTGGCTCTGTGCACAACAGAAGGAAACACTGCCCTTTGCTGCACCCGCCTCACAATTGTTCCTATGCTTTAGCCCATTGTGGCAGCCACCGTGTCAATGCTTCCTGCTGAGGGCCTTCCTTGGTCTCGCTGCCCCTCTACTTTAGCAAGTCCTTCTCCACAGACTAGCCTGTCCTCACAACTTGTTCAAAATACACGAGACAAGGTCTTGCCATCCTCGCCTCTAAGGAACACTGGTCCTACTTCTTCCAAGACAGAACCATTTGTCCTTTGGGCAGTCCAAAATACTTTCAATATTCTTCTCCAACACCACAAAGGCATCGATTCTTCTTTGTCTTTACTCCACGTCCGACTTTCACATGTATATGAGGCAATTGAGATACCGTGAGGTAACACTTAGCAGTATTACCTACAAGATGAAAATCCTCCCTCAGTTTACTTTCAATTCCGAGATCCAGTAGTGGCGGGAGTGACTGTGGAAACAAGGCAGGTGAAACAGGGCACACCCATGTATGTCCTTAGCAAAAACATCGTTAATATTGGAATAATAACAAGTAAAACCTGATGTATCCAGAAGAGAAACGAAGAAAGAGCTATGACCCAGCAGGTACAGCTTCTGGGTTGGACAGTTTCAATGGTGCCTTCATTAAGTCATGAAATACACCACCAACAGGTAGATGTTGCTCCCCCAAAACAATAGAGGACAAGAAGTCTGCATCAAAATAGAACCTATCCCTGGTGAATCTCCCAAAATGTATGGAAGACATTTTGAAACTACAGACATCCTTGTCAGGAAGATCATCCAGTAGTCCATCAATGCACTCAAAGACTGATTCGGAGATAAAATGCTGAAGGAAGGCTGGCAATTTATTATGAAGCTGAAGAAAGCTTGTTTTTTTAAATAAATCATTTTATTGGGGGCTCTTATAACAATCCATACATCAATTGTATTAAGCACATTTGTACATATGTTGTCATCATCATTCTCAAAATATTTTTGAAGAAAGTATTTAAGTCATCTAATTTTTCCACGTGGGACAGAAAATATAATGTAATATTGTAGTATCGCCAACAACAACAAAAAGTCAAAACTGGAATGGACAAATGAACTCAAATACTGATGGGAAAAAAAAGTTGCAAAAAATGTTTTCCATGAGAAACCAAGAAACATACACTGATTTGACAGTGGCCAATTACATGTCCCCATTGACAGCTTCGATCTGCCTGTTCACTTTGCCCACTCCCTTTCCCACCCCTGTCTGCTGGCCACTGTTTCAAAGTTTGCCCTTCATCACATTTGAATTTTTATTACAGATCTAAAACATTCCATTTTATCCTGATTAAATCAGGACTATAGTATTTTATTCTACTGCGATCATGCAGAGTTTGTGAATCTTGGACTTTTCTGATATAAGAAATACTTCTTTATTGATGCTTATTCTTCCCATGGTGAAATTTCCCCCCACCATTCTCCAGGCAAATGTCCTTAGAAATAATTTTTTTCATAGAAAACTAGCAATTCTGGTATTTTTCCATTTGCTTTGTGTGAAATCATGGTGTTAAACATAGCTAGTTACCTTTCACTGCTTCTATCATCATGAGAGTCCATTGTAATGATTACAATCAGAACTATCAATAAAGAAAACAGACACTGAACATGTGTGTGTGTGTGTGTGTGTGTGTGTGTGTGTGTATAACATGACTTGGGTCAGGCACACCTTAATTCTCAAAGTAACATTTTTTCTTTTCAACACTCTAAAGAGGTCTTATGCAACCCCCATAACCAAACATTTTGAAGGAGTAAGTTACTGGATTTGGGTATAAAATAGGTATAGTCTCAAGGACACCAATTTCAGTAGACCTAACATAGTTTACAAATA